TGAAAGCAAAATGCAAATACATGTGGAATCTTCCCTTCTCATGAGTTATTGTCTAATGATGCAATAAACATGCACTTTCTAACTTTACACTGTTGGAGAATTTTTGTCCATCTCAGTTGGATATCGATATTAGATCGATATTCATATTTTAGTAAGTCACCACCAGGCTTGCTGCTGCCTCAGGAGCCATCAGGATCCATCCCAAGTCCTGCTGCTCACCTCACGAACGTGGGGGGTGTTGACAGAAACGTTCCCAAGGTTCAGTGTGCGACAGTTCAGTTCAACCAGGGGTCCTCTGCCGTGCCCTCTGAGGCGCAGGGGCAGCCTGCTCTCACAGCCTGGGGAGAGATGTCCGTTTCAGTACAATAATTCCCTCTGTTACACTGCATTTTCCAGGCTGCCTCAGTGAGAGTCCCTGACTCTGAGCTGGATGCCACCAGCTCCTGATGCTGCAGGAGAAGATATGGACCCTTCTGTTCCCTCAGGAGATATCCCTTGGGGCTGACTTGCAATTTCTAACCCATTCCTTGGGCTGGTTTCCAATCTTAGCCACCAGTCTGCTGAGTTTCAAACACCTCTGATGTCCTGTAGTGGCAGGCCAAGCAGTAACGGGTATAAATTGAAAGAAAGGAAGTTTAGGTTCCATATTAGGAAGGAATTTTTTACTGTGAGGGTGGTGAGACACTGGAGCAGGTTCCCCAGGGGCGTTGTGGAGGTTCCAGCCCTGAAAGTGTTCAAAGCCAGGCTGGATGGGCTTGGAGCTCCCTGATCTAGTGGGAGGTGTCCCTGCCCAGAGGCCTTTAAGGTCCATTCCATCCTGACCTTCCTATAATTCTGTGGTGTCCTTCCCATGCACTTAGAGGAGCTCTGAAATCCATTCAGTGCAGGCACAAAGCTCATACAGAGTTTGGCAATTGCCAAACTACCTGGCCCAGTAGCACACGGCTTTGTTGCCAAAATCCTCAACTTCTGGCACTCAGCATTGTGTTCTCCTTCCACAGACTGAGCTGCAAGGTGACAATTCCCACACAGGGACAGAGGCAGGTGCTGGCCAAGGGTGCTCCTTCTACAAACACCCTGGGCTCAGCGGGGCTCAGCCACTCTGGTCTGGTGGTGTCTGGGCAGTGGGAGTGATCCAGGGTCACAGAGATCATTTCTAACTCAGCTCCTACCCCCTGATGATGGATCTGTGTCAAATGGACCCATCCTGGAGGTCAGTGGCCTAGAGGGTTCAGTGCTTGTTCACTAAAGCTGTTGTGCTCTGCAGCTCTTTGGCCTTTGAGGAAATGCTGGCAAAGCCATGGCAGGAAAACCTCTCCCTGCACTGCCTGGATTGTTCTGGGTTCAGGAGCCCAGACACAGGATTCTGAGCCCTGGCCTTGCACAGGAGACTCCCTGGAAGCTGCAGGGCCAGTGGGGATGTGCCAGCACTGCCCTGCTGGCCAGGGACTCTTCCCAGCAGTTACAGGGGAGCCCAGTGGGCTCAGGCTTGCACCATGGCTGCACTGAGGCTGAGAGAAGCAGGGGAAAGGAGCTGGACCTGAGATGTTGCAGTAAGCCACACTTCGGTACTCCAGTGCCTCTGTGGGTTTGAAGGTCACCTTGATTTCAGCCGAACTATTCGGCCCAATTTCTCCCTCCTAAAACAGAAAGAGACAGCAAAACATTTATCTTCAAACTTCACATTTCTTGCTTTCAACCACAGTCCTGCAAGCCTTAGTTTAGAGCATAGTGATGAGTGAACAACACAAGGAGCCCAAGGAAACACTCCAAACCCAGCTCAGCACACTGCTGGAAGCTCTCAGTGCTCAGCTGATCAGCTCCCACTCTCCACAATGTTCCTACTGCTCTGACACAAGCCCTTGGTCACATCATGCTGCTGTCAGCTACAGCGGGATGCAACTGCCACTGTGCACTCATGGCTCTCACAAGAAGAGAACATGATCCCCTTCCTTGGAAATAAAAATATTAATTTAACCTGTGTTGAAAGAAAGCAGCAGTGGGGATTATTCTGGGGTTTACTCCAAGATGAGAAGGGATTTTGCACTGTGCAGACACCAGGCACTCATCATCTCTCACATCTTCAGTACTCAGAACCAGGGCTCTGGCTGATGGGAGGATGTGGGGGTTTGCTTGCACAAACAGAAAAGGAAAAGGGTTTCTGTCCCTGTGTGCAGGAGAACTCAAAAGGCCCATTTAAACCTTCCACCCTTGTGTCCAAGCTCTCAGAGGACACTGGAAGGGACACTCAGAAATAGTGCAAGGCGTGGTTACAGGTGGGGATGGGCATTTCTATGATTAACCATGGCAAGCTTGAGGTCACTATGTGAACTGGCAGAGCTCCAACACCCTCTGCTGAGCCCCTGCCTACAAGAACTGCTCCCTGTGGACACTGCAGGACAGCACAGAGCGCCCTTGAGCTCGAGCCCTGGCAGCAGAGCTCGGCTTTGTCAGGCTCCCAGCCCTGCCCTGAGCCTGCAGGGCAGAAATGCTTCCAGCAGGGAGCTCTGCAGCTGCACCAAAACTCCATGTCCTCCCTCCCAGCACATCGGGCCAGCTGAGGATCTGCCAGTGACCGCATCCCGGTGGGAGGAGGGAGAGGTGGGGGAGGAGGAGGAGGAAGAGGAAGAGGGGAAGGAGGAAAATGAGGTTCTCAGCTATCACTTACCACTGGCTCAATGAAAAAAATGTCATCGGAGAACAGCATGGGGTCTTGTTGCACCTTTGCTATCTCCGCCAGGACCTTGTTGCTCAGGCGGGCAGTGTGATCTTCACAAGAGCCCATCTCTGACTCTGATGTTTCCTCCTCCGTTAAGTTTTCCTGCGACTTCTCTGACCACGGCCGCAGAAAACGACACTGCCTGCAGCCACAGGAGAGACAAGGCCAGCAGATCGTTTAATAAGCCACATATTTGCAGAGGGAAGTGTGAGTGCAGGAGGGCAAAGCACCTGGGGAGGAGCAGCAGCAGCTCCCCAGCAAGGGCTGACCCCAGGCCATGGGGTCCCACATGGATCAGAGGATAACTTGCTGTTCACTGGCACAGCAGGTCGTTTTACTCCACACCTGCAAGCTCAGGACATGTTTCCAAAGCCAGAGAGAACTTCCTGGCTCAAAGCCTCTGCCAAAACTGAGGGAGAACCGACCAGGCACTTCAAGTGGATTTTCCTACCACTGAGCTGCTCAGGGGAGGCAGATAAAGATCATGGAGCAGGACTTCCCTGGGAAGGGGAGACGAAGCTGGGCTGCAGCTACGTGTTACCAGCATCACTCTTTGTTTCTGCCATTTTGGACCTGCCCTGATCCCTACTCTGCCTTTCACAAGAGCATCCCACAGCACTTCCAAAGGAAATTGATAAATTCAGGCACCGCACCCCTTCAGTGACATTCAAGGTTTTATGCATGAAAACAGAAGCTCTGAGAGGTGAGGGGACTTTGTTGTGCAGGAGGGAGACAGCAAACTCCTGGAGAGGCCTTTTCATGACCCAGAGCTTTTTGGGTCCCATCCCAGTGCATGGTAGCAGAATGTCCTGAGAGGGAAAGGATCCTGCACTGTGTCCTCTCATTAAAAAGTCCTCTCAGCTCTGAGATCTCAAAAGCTGCTCTGACAGCAGGACAGTGGCCTTGGAGCTACAACCATGCCTAAGACTGGAAGTAAGGAAGAACAAAATGTCCTGGTGGCAGTCTAGGACACAAACTGGCATGAAAACAAATGTAATTGGAAAAAACCCACAAAACCGCAACCAGGTTGAAGTTTACTTTGGGGAAACCTAGTTGCTTCTGAGGGCAAAGCAGATCACCTGGGGTCCAGGCTGAGGCAGGGAAGTGGGGAAGAAATGGAAATAAAGAGCCCAGGGAAGTAGCCAGAGAAGGTCATGGGGTTTTTGTTAACACACAGAGCTTGTATGGAAGTCAGATGCTGAGTAAGGAGATGGAGAACAGTGGAAAACCAAGAAGCCCAGGGCACTAAAGCCATTCAGGTGGGCAAGGGTCAATCTCCTGGTCCTTTGCAGGCAATTTAAAATTACTCTGGGGACTGCAAGCGACCTGGCCCTCAGCAACCAGGGGCTTGCCACGGCAGTTTTGGCCCAGCAGTTTTGGCTCAGCAGTTTTGGCCCAGCAGTTTTGGCCCAGCAGTTTTGGCTCAGCAGTTTTGGCCTGGTGTTTTTTCAGTTTTTGCGTGGCAGCTCGCACAAGCAGCCTGAGCACAAAAGGTGCAGCCACCCACCTTCCTTGTGCAGAGGGTTGTGTCTTTTTGCTGGTTGTGAGGTGCTTGCCTTTTTTTTTTTTTCTTTCTTCTTTATGTTTTTGGGTTTTTCCCCAGCGATGGTTTAGAAATGCTGAAAAGCCATTGCTGCTGCTGCTAGCAGGAGTGCACTAACTCAAAGAGACCCCCTCAGGAAGGGCACAGCTGTCCAGGCCCCTGGCTGCAGGGAGGGTCTGAGCCTGGTGTTAATGGCAGAGGAAGTGCAGAAGACACCTGCGTGTGGTGTGAGCAGCTGAAGGATCTGCTCTGCCCAGTGGCAGAGCTTAAGGAAGAAGTGGAAAGGCTGAGGAGCATCAGGGAGAGTGACACAGAAATAAACTGGTGGAGTTACACCCCTCCAACCCTGAGAGAAGCTGAGCAGGAGTCAGAGGAGCTCTGCCCTTCTTGGGATCAGGCAGAAGGAGGAGACCTAGGACATGGTGGGGAATGGAAATGGGTCTCTCCTGGGGAGGCAATAAAATTCCATCCTGACTCCCATCACCTACCCAGGTGTCCTGACAGAACAGGTATGAGGCCTGACTCCAGAGGGTCAGGCAGATGACACGAAAGAAAAAATTCTGCCTGGAGAGTCTCCCAGCTGCACTTGGTCTGTCAGACAGATCACAGCCTCAAGAATTAAGAAAAGAAGGGTAGTGGGTAGTGGTAGTAGGTGACTCCCTTCTAAGGGGAGCTGAGGGCCCTGTAGATTGACTGGATCCATTCCACAGGGAAGTCTGTGCCTCGCTGGGGCCCAGGTACAGGATATCACCAGGAAATTCCCTAATAACTAAATGAACTTCATCTCTTCACCACTGTCTGGGGTACAGTGACTGTGAAATAAGAAGAGTTCTCAATATTCAGTGAAACAAGGAGGGGCATGGACAAAACTTTCACTCTGGACTTCTGGAGGGCAGATTTGGCCTGTTCAAGAGGCTGATTTGGCAAGAACCCTGGGAAACAGCCCTTAAAAACAAAGGGGTCCAGGAAGGATGGACACACTTCTAGAAAGAAGTCTTGAAGGCACAGGAACAGACTGTCCTTGTGTGCTGAAAGACAAGCTGGCAGGGAAGACAACCAGCCTGGATGGGCAGGGACCTTCTGAAGGAACTAAGGGAAAAAAAGAGGGTGTATCACCTTTGGAAAGAGGGTGAGCTGTTTAAGGATGTTGCCAGGTCATGTAAGAAGAAGATTAGAGAGGCAAAAGCCCAAGGAGAACTTGAGGAAATCCAGTCATTGCAACCAACCTTTCCTTCCCAAAATGCCACCCTTGGTTGGAGTTTAAGTGGAACTGGAATGCTCAGTGCTGAGCTCCTGAAGCCAGCAGGGACACACACCCTAGTGCCAGGCATGGTTTACTTGGCCCAAACCATTCAAAAGCACCAACACCCCCTGAGGCCACACGTCAGTTTTAGTCTTGGGCCATGTATCTCACTGAAATGAGATATGAAATGTCAGACCAACCTCCTCTTCTCTCGATTCTCTCCTTCCTCGGTAGGAAAAGCCTTCCACTGGAAGTGGGCCGTGACGTTACTCCTGTTCTCAATGAACATGGTTTTGTGGTTTGACATGGAGATGAACGTCGTCTCAACCGCCACGAAATTTGTGCTCAACCCAATGTTGAGCTCTACAGCTTCTGCGTGGAGCTCTGTGAGGCTACTTTCTTCACCTGGAACAAAGCAAGGGGGAGTCTTTGCTCAGCTCACTGGCTGATGGAAGCACGAGGAACAGCTGGCTGATGGAAGCAAACCACAGGTCACAGAAGAAAGTGTCACAGTTTTCAGCTGAGTCAGCAGCTCCATGGATCAGTCCATTTATCACATCCTGACAGCTCTGTGTGTACAGCATGAGGATGTCCTGGGCACCTCCTTAAACACCTTATTTCTGAGAGTGTTTGTGCAGATTTGGCCCCAGGGTGACAGTATGTGCAGTGAGATTTGTCAGATGTGCTCTGGTGACCCACTCAGATCCCCGGGATTTCTGCATCAATGTCCTTCAGGTGACACTGAGGAGCCCTGTTCAGTCCTGGCTTGCCCAGGCTCTCCCTGGGCATCCCACGGGACTCCTGTCTCTCCTGATCCCTTGGATCCCTTGTTGCTGACAAGCAAATTTGCCTGGGGGCATGTGGGCAGCAAAAGGAGGCCCAGAGGAACAAGTGAAGTGACAGCCCACAGCACGAGGGGACACAGGTGAGGAAACACAACCAGCCTGGCTCTGCAATATGACAAACCACTACAAAATGAACACCGTGAAAATCATCATCATCTCCCTGCCCAAACCCACAGCCGCATCAGTCTTGAAATATTTTATATTATTCTGATCTCAAAAACCAAGCTGGAGCATTTCAGATTAAATAAAAAAGGGACAAAGGGAAGATTAATAAGTACAGAGCAGCTTCTAGATGAAGACTGACTGGGATTCCTCAGTCTAGAAATCACATGGGAGATAGATGTGAGAGGTTTGCAACAGCATGAATGGCCTGGGAAATGGGGACGAGGAAAAATTTGTCTTGATTTGTCACCAAACAGGAACTCGAGGGCCTGGAAATGTTATCAGACAGAAACTAATAGATGTGTAAGGGCAGTATAGAAAAAGGGTCTGTGACAAGCCAGTGGAGAAGCAGCATACGGGACAGAGGTGTGCAAGAAACACATTGCATTGGAGAGAGTCTGATGGAAACCTCACACCTCACATACAGCACTGCCCAGGAATAAAACAAAACTTCACCCAGGCATAGCCACACGGTAGTGGAGAATCGGGGATCCTCCTTCCTCCACTCAGCAACTCCCAGCAAAACGGGAGTCCAAAAATCTTAGTCCCGTTAGAGGGGATCCACTTTCTCAACCCCCTAAACACCAAGGAGTTCTCTGTTTTCTTTGGGGTAAAGCTGAACAGGGGAGGGACCTCTAGAGGGAATGGAGGGGGATGGGACAACAGGGAGCCATGGTGCAGAACTGTCCTGTGCCCGTGCAGGGCCCAGCACTCACCTGTGTTGCAGCACAGAGACCCCGAATAGTCACCGGTCATCAGCGCGTGGAATCCCACTGTCACCTGCACGGTGTCACCAGCGCCCACAGTTCCCGTGGCTGGAACCACGGAGAAAGGACTGCAACACAAAGAGAGGGCAGCAGCTGCAATGCTCTGGCTCCTTCTGTTGCTCATTCCCGGCCCTGGTACCACCCAAAGGGGTTTTGCACAAGGACAGAGCCTCACCTCTGGGTGCTCAGCTGGTAACGAGCTGCCCGCTTACTGACATTACGAACCAGCAGAGTCTTCTGGCTGCTGTGCTTGACCGGACACTCCGAGAAGTCCAGCTGGTCAGGGAACTCCAGGATAGCTGGGGCACCAATGGCCTGAATTGGCACGACTATCCTTTCCCTTGCAGTGGTGCAGATGAGCTTGTGGGAATAATCCTGCAGGAAAGGAACCTAGCTCAGCACAGGACATTTAGTGCCATCCCCATGGCAGAAGAAAAACCATTTCCTATAACCCTTCAAGGGCATCGATTTACCTATTCCACCCTAAAATGAATGCTAAGTTCTACTAATATGTCACATTTTAAGGGCACCAGTACGCTTTGCAAAACCTATCTCAGTGGCATTAAGCTCTTGTGTCACTTGGGTCATCCAAAGAACTGCCTTAGGCCACCATAATTTCTACTCTAAATTTTAATGATGCTAAATAATTCCTAAGTCCCCTCTAAGGAGCATGGAGCTAGGGAACACAGGACATTCCTGTTTGTGTTTCTGTATTCCCACTGTCTGAGAAGAGAACAAAGTGTTAAACTGACTCTAAGCAGCAAAAAGAAGATGAGAAACCAGCTGCACCCAAAGAGCTCCTGCACCTCTGGCCTGGTGCAGAAACATGGGTTGGCTCAGACCTGCCCTCTAACTTTGCCTGTCCAACCAAGTCAGGAGAAGAACAGCACTAAGAGGTGGCAGCATGCTGTTGGAAAGAGCCTCCCTTTGTTTGCCGGCAAGGCTTCCCCCTTCCATGCCACGTCCCAAACCCTTCTGTATGAACAAGCCTCCAAATCACAGCACTGAGATCCGACTTGCCAGGGCCCCAGCACCAGTGTTCAAACCTCCCCAAAAAAGCAGGTTTGGCATGGAATGGGTGCCAGCTGACAGAGCCACCACAGTGACAGGCATGAAGGCAGAGGCACAGCAGTGTCACTGCTGTGGAGTCACAGCTCTGCCTGCAGGTCGTGCCTGCCCTACACGAGCTCTTTCAGGCAGGTGGCCAAGTCCCCTGCAGCTCACCAACCTCCTGCTGGCTAAGGGCACCTAGAGCCCAGTGTGCCCGTGCCAGGCCGGGCTCACGGGCACAGCACATCCTCTGCCCTGGCCCTGCAGCTGTATCATGGTCAGCTGTGCTCTGGGACAGCACAGCTGCAAGGCTGGAGAACAGAGGGTGTGAAAAAGCACCGTCTTTGCTCCAGCCCAGGGTGAGGCAGGGAAGCTGTTGCCAGTCAGGAAGGAGGAAAGCTCTCAGACCTCTTTGTTCCTCTAGTGTTTTCCATAACAATGAAATCCCTTCCACTGTACCTAGAGATGGCCAAAGATCTATCAACACCCCTCTGTCATTTTCCCTGTTCCCCTGCATCTTGCCTCGGGGATGCTCAGGAATGTGCAGGGAGGGAAGCAGAGCCTGTCAGGCCTGGGCGCAGTGCCTGACAGCATGAGCCAAGCTGTGACTGGCTGCAGGCTGCCTGCCCACGGCCTGGAGCCAGGCTCACAGCATGGAATGGGGCTGCACGGAGAGCAGGGAAAACAACGGCTTTGGAGGTAATTCTGTTCTGGCTCCTCCAGTCTCACCTTGCCCTTGCCAGGGGTGAAGCGGATGCGCACATGGGCAGGCACACCCGGCATCACAACACGGTATGCGTTGTTGGAGCACGCCAGCTGGAAGTAAGGCGAGCTCTCCATGGAGATCTTCACCACCTCAGGCAACTGCAGGAAAGACATGAAACGATTGTTTTGCCACTCGTGGAAACAGGACAAGAGGAGACCTGTCCATGCCCTGGTGACATCCCTCCTTGACCCCTTTGCCAAAGCACTTTCAGCTGTGGAGCCACAGGCACGTCATTCCTGAAGGTGAACCCAAATCCCTTCTGGGTCCAGCATTTTGGCCAGGGGCAGTAGGGCAGTGCCTGGTGGGAAGGAAGGGCCAAGCAGGTCATCACCAGCAGGATGGAGACAGAGCACTTGAACCAAGTCATCTGCATATTCAGCCAGACCAAAAAACCTGCTGGCTCCTGCCTGCACACAGCCACGCAGTAGCCGTGTTCCAGAGGGGGAATGTGCTGTCTGAAAGCAAAACAGCACATTATCCTGGGGGAAGGAAGAAATTCTCTTCTAGCAGATGAGGTTTGGGTGGGGCAGTTCTGGGGATACAGTCATGCAGGCAGACCAGCAAGAGAGGAGACCAAACACTTTGGCCTTACTGGGAATAAAAGCAAACCTGAAAAGCAAAAGGAACACAGCAAGACAACCCCTAAAACAAGGAGATGGCAAAGAGAATTTAAATGGGCAGTAAAGCAGTGAGGAAGAATCATAAAACCATGAGAGCAATCAGCTGGCCAAAAGTGACAGAAACACAGACAGGCTGTGCCTACTGACTATGGGCTTCGAAGGCATTTTCTGCCTGGAGAAACATGACCAGCACTGACTCACAGTGTGGTTCCAGAATTAAAGGCCAGTCTTGGCTCTCCAGGGGTTCTTGCTGCCTGTGCAGGCAAGCTGGGCTGCTGGGCATTCCTGCCTGCAGCCAGCAGGCCAGGTTCTGTCCTCTGGGATACACAGACACAGCAAACATGCATTTTCTAGCACAGAGGTATCAACCCCCGAGCACCAAAATGCTCTCAAGAAGTCTAAAGTAGATGATTTTGACTCCCTCCTGTCTCTTGCCACCAGCCCACTCTTGGCACAAGGCTCATTTGAGAAAATGTTTCCCTGACTGAAATGCAAATGGTCTCCATTTTCCCCTTTACAGTGGAACACAACTGCTGACATTTTTTACCTTTTTGCCTCTCAACTCTCTTGGGAAACTGTAAAACAAACACAATTTCAAGTGAAGGTAAAAACCTCCAGGAGCACATGGCTTTGGATGTGCTGTGGTTCGCCAAAGGGAAAGCAGAGCACCATGCTGCTTTTGGAAAACCTGAGCAGAGCTGGATGAAGCCTCGCAGGAGCCCAAAGTGGCACCTAAAGGCTTCCTGCTGCTTCTGCTACATCAGCCTGATCCCAGGGCTCTTTCAGAACACACTTCCTGCAGTGCCAGTGCCAGTAATGAAAAGTGATTCCAGCATCAAGTGGAGAAGGCTCAGACCCTGAGCTTTGACTGTGAGCTGCACAAAGGGAGCCAAACAGGCTGAGAGAGGCAGAGGAGCCAAGATTAACCTGGGAAACACAGGATGTGGTATACACTCAAGGCAAAGCATGAGAGCAGGTAAGAACTGTACAGCCCTCAACATTCCTATCAATCCAGAGCTTTCAAGAGAAGGCAACTCCTTTGGGATAGATACCATCAACACATGGCCAAAATCAGGGAGAATTCCCAGCACAAGAAGATTTCCACCATCTTGCAGAACAAAGGTGCTGAGACATTTTCTTGTGGATGTGCTGCAGCAGGTAACTTGCTTTGCTGTACACTCTGGCAATTACACCACTCTCCTCTTCCAGCACACTCTTACAGCTCCACCCCCCAGCACTTACCTTGTCCTTATTCACGAGAGACACCACCATTTCAGAGACCTCATGAGCGACAAAGCCCCGAAACACCACCTCTGGTGGGGAAATCTGAAGCAAGTTCTGCTTCGGGGGAACTGACGACAACTGGAGAGGCGAGAGAGAGCAGGGAGAGGTTCAGCTGCTGGGAGGAAGGGGCATGAAGGATCCCTTACACTGATCCCCAGTGAAGTACAGGCTCTGGGTGAGCACGTCTGCCCAGCCCACACTGGGCAAACAGTGGCTCACCCACCTCTGCTCTGAGCTGATCAAGAGCTGCTGGGCCACACAGAGCAGGCTCAAGCCAAGCTGCTCTTTTGGCACGTATTTCTCCAGGTTTCCTTCTCCACAATGCCAGGCAGCACTTACCTTAAGCACAGCCCTGTGCCCGTGTGGTCACAGAGCTCTGGGGCACTGAGTGAGCACTCATGGAGTAAGTAAAACCCACCAATTTACATCAGACTCTATGGGAAATGATTTTAGGATGTCCTTTACTCTGAGACAGGGAAACCAAGGCCCACACAACTGCAAATATCTTTTTTATCTAGAACTTAGACATCAGTAAGAAGAGAACAGTACCAGAGGAGGTGTGAGAGGTGAGGTGATATTTTGCTGAAGCCAAAAGGTTATCTAGCGAAAGAATGGAATTTGCTGGTTCTGTGTGTTGTTTGTGGTTTGGATTTGTTCAGGTTGGTTTGTTGGGTGCTGCTGTGAGAGGGACAGGGTTGAAGAGCTGACCAAAAGGAAGCAGGATGAGAGGGGAGGGACAGAAGAGCTGGCAGCTGGACAGAATGGAAGTTCCCGAGTACCCATCCAAGGGGAAAGGGGACAGGGACCGCCCTGGCGGGGTACAAAGGAGATAGGAAGATTGCCATTTTCTCAGAGGGTGTGTTTGTTCGTCTCTGGGGGGAGGGAGACATGCCCAGCTCAGCTGAATTCTTACTTGTTACAGAATTTCTGAGAGAGAGAGGGCATGATTTATGTCTGGAGTGAGACTTGAGCTACCCCCTCAGACAGGCCCTGATAAGCGGCCTTGGTGGGGCCTCGAAGCCTTTGATGCAGTGAGAATTCAGTTGTGGCGCAGTCAGAAATTATGTTAAGGTAACTACAAAGTAATGAGCTATCCGAGCATGAATTAGAGTAGAGCTGCAGTGTGCAAAGCCTGACCACCTCAAGGCAAAGGTAAACAATGTTAGCTTGCCAATCAGAGTGCCTTTGTAAACTGTAAACTATATGGGAGTGTATATAAACTGCCATCTTATCACGAATAAGGGGAGAATGTTGCATTAATCATATTGGTTGGATGTGCGTTCTGTCCTGTCCAATTTTCCCGTTTTATGAGGTCCCTGGCTTTTGTTACCAATAAATAGTTTTCTTTTGCTTTGATGATTTTGTCCCCTTTAATTGTATTTAAAAGTTAGTGCGTTTCAAACAGAGGTAAAAGCAAAAATAAAGTAACACAGAAGTTAGGAAAAAGACAAATGAGTGCTGAATGAGGAAAAGGTTCAGTTATTTTCTCAGCAACTTGGGTGAAAGTAGAGTTGGTGACTCCTTTTTCCATGAGCTTTAAATGGGTGCTTTCTTGTAATTATTGCCATTTTACATGATACCATTGTAGAGGCACATCTGGGATGACACAACAACAGCAAATGCTTGTGGAGCAGAGACATTGCTTTGAGAAAACTCTCCCCTTTGTCTGCCTTCTCCAGCCACACTGCTGTCACTCCAGAGACACAAGCAGGCCTCCTGTGTGACTCCCCAGGAGACACAGCCTGCTGAAGGGACTGGCTGCAGCACCCTGTCCCTTGGTTGTGCCCTTCCCTGAGGTGCTCCCAACGCCCCTCTCCAGGGCAATCCTTAACCAGCGTCTCTTGCTGCCAATTTCCTGCTCAACAGCCCACCTCGGTCACCTACCCCTTTGGACTGTGCTTTATACTGAGCCAGTCCTGCCACAAAAGCAGCTTTAAACACACCTCTAGGTAGGCACTGATGCAGATAAAGCACATCCATTCCCCTCTGCCCAGGGCGAGTCCCCTGCACATTGGCAGCCTGCAAAATCTAACACCCTGTCAGGGTCCAACACATTGTTCCAACCCAAAGCATTCATGAAATTTGTTTTGTTCCATCTGAAGTAATTACTGCAGCTCCTCGGCCTTCAAAGGCCAGCGCTGCCACTCGGAAGGGAATCCTGTGACCCCGAGCATTTCATGGCGACCACACCACAGCAAGAGGTGGCTACTTCATCAGAATGGCAAATGGCAATTTTGTGCCTTTGTGTCCCCAGCCTTCCCCCCATTGTTTTAGCAATGGCAGCTACACTTAGGCAGCTTCAGCAGAGGTTATTTGTGTTGGCTTAGTGCAGATCAGGATTCCCATCCACCACTACCAGCAGTTTGCACTGACAACAGGACCTGGACACTGAGGTATTTTGCTGGAGGCAAGCCTGTCACAAGCACACACCCTCTTCAAACTTCACATCAAACAGGCGTGGAAAAGGAAAAGAGCAGGAAAAGGCTACCTTTGGACCGGTCTTACTCATGTCTAGAAATGGGCCAGTTCTGGGCGCAATATTCTCCGCAGTGCTGGCCTTCTTCTTCGTGTTGAAAAACTTCTCCCACAGGGACTTAGAGGGAAGCAGCTGAAAGGCAAAAATAAACCAGCTAGAGTCTCAGAGATGTGCTTGTTCACAAAAGCTTTTCTTGAACAAGTGGCACTGGTGAACAATTTGTGATCACATAGTCTAGGACAGTCCTGGAAGCCCTGGAAGTTACTTGCTGAAATACTTAGCACCAATAAATTAATAATACAGAGTGGAATACACATACTCCCACCCCACAGCTGCGTCCCATTAGCTTATCTGTGATGTAATGTGACATCTTTGGGGATTTCTGCTCCTTGGGCATTTGTTTCCTCTTATGTTTCATTGGATTGAGGCATTGACCTTTTCAGAGAGTGGGGAGGAGCTCTCAGAACTCCCCTAACTCCATCCATGGACAACACTGAGAACTCACAGCAGGGAGATATCGCTGCTGGGGGAGTCCAAGAGACGCAAGAAAGGAACATTGTACCAAGAATGAGGAGCACAGGAATGTGTCCAAGTTTTTGTTTTCTCTGTTAATTAGCATTTGTTTTCTCTGTCTGGGCTCACAGACCCCTCCACAGAAGAAAACAGAGGGATCTCCTTGACAGAGCCTCAGCAGTGGGGCATCTTCACTCCAGTGAGCTCCAGACACCAAGGGACCTCTGTGGCCTGACTCCAGTGCTGCCTGCAGGGCTGGATCTGCGCCCACACAGGAGATGAGAGAGAACAGCTGGCTTGGAAGCTCTTCCAGCTGGGACCAGCCATGTCTCTCTAGGCTTTGGGCAGAGTTTGAGCTTTCCCTGCCCCACCACATGCCCAGGTGGCCAAGGGCAGGTTGGTCAGAGCAGCACAGGTGAGTGCCCAGCCTGACAGAAGGAATTGCTGTGGCAAAGGGAAAGGGACAGAACACACGCTCGCAGCTTCAGCTGCACATTGGTTTCACTTGGCTCAGCCAGGCAAGACCCTGAGGCAACACACGGTGTTCCCTACTGCACCAGGACAGCCCCCACCAACAGGAGCACGGCACAAAGAGGTGGGGAGGGCGTCTGCAGCTTCACAGCGCTGCTGGACAACAGGGGCAGGGAGAGGAGGGACACGAGAGGAGTTTCCAGCCTTAACACAGCCCCAGTGGGTACTTACACTGAAAGACTTCAGCGCTTCCCTCGACCACAGACGGGGTTTCAGGATCTTTTCTCGGAATCCGGAATCCATTTTGAAGGGAGGATATCCCAGATAAACGACAATGCCTCAATGAAACTGCAAGGAGCAACAATGGAACTCTGAAAATCCAGAACCCAATTCATGGCAGATTCAAGGCATATACTGGTGCTAAAAATTTATAGTATTTGGAAGTAGCTCAATGCTTGTTTGGTGTAAGTAGCTAGTATTGTTAGGCCTCTAGCTGGACTTGATTCGAACGATATGGCTATGTTGTGCAATTCAAAGATGGATCATACTGAAACCTGGAGGTAAAAATCTGAACATTAATAATAGTTAGAACAGACAAAGATGTAGCTTAAATATTAAATACTTAAAAATAGCTCAAGTGGATCTCCTCTTCTTTAGGCTAAACCAGCCCTGTTCTCTCAGCTCTTCCGCACAGGACTTGTGAGAGACTGCAATTTTATGGCTAATGGCTTAAATATTGTTATAAAGGACTTTCTGCCCATTGGGACTGCATAAAGAAGCTGTGACCACCCAAGCCCACCCTTCCCTGAAAATGCCTCCTGACTGGAACTTTGGACTGTGAGTTAGGCTGCCTAAGGGAACTTGAAACAAGACAAAGGTGACACTATTGCCCACTTATCTCAGGTCTGGGGAGAAGTAAACAAAGCTGAGGAGAAAACCTATCCACAACAAAGCCAAACCCAGCAGCTGTCCTGAAAATCAGCTCTGTCTGGGTTCAGGGCAGGGAATTCATAGCCACAGACTCATCTGCTGAGGCCAGGTTTGCACACAAACCTCCCATCAAAGACCTCCAAAGTGCCCCCAGACCCATCCCTGAGGCCCTGCACCAGATGACTGCAGGCCATGCCAAGTAACACAACAGATCTGAAAATCCAGAACCCAATTCATGGCAGACTCAAAGGATCTACTGGTGCTAAAGATTTGATATTATTTGAAAGTAGCAATAGATGGAGTCAGACTTGCCCCACCCCAGGGAGGTACCTGGGCAGTCCCACCTTGCCCAAATCTGCATTAATCCACTGGAGTCTTACGTTTTGCGAGAGAGACCTCACCACAGAGAAGACCAGAAGAGGATTTTATGGTATGCTGATGGGATCCATGGAATTTTGATATTTTTTACTTAATCAGTCTCTGTCACTCTCTTTCTGCTCCCTCTTCCGAACCCCACCCTCCCTGCCACTTTTTCTTTCTCTCTCTATTCCTCACATTTACTGTTAAATAAAATCCAGACTATTGACTTTGGCAATTCAGAGGCATCTCCCTAATAATTTTAATAACCAGATGATAACAACCCACTGAAACTTGACCAGAACTCATTCACCTTTAAGCAGTTTAAGCAATCACTATAGGGAAAAAAAAAATGCATAGACTAGTACATTTAGAAAATGTTGCATTTCTTCAGTGCAAAAAAGCACAATCAGTAGACCATATGTCATTCATCCACTCAGCTGTCCATGCCGCTGAACTGCTGCACCAGAGGACTGGCATTATCACAGCCTGCATTTCCCTTTGGCATTCTCTTTCCGAGCACAGATGAGACAAAACCAAACAGTTCAGCTTTAGTCAATCTTTACCTTCAAAGGAAATTCAGGACTGTGTAGCAGAGACCAATGCTCTGCATGTTCAGGAATCCTTTGCAGAGACCGATGCTCTGCAAATTCGGGACTCCTTTGCAGAGCCCAATGCTCTGCAAATTCGGGACTCCTTTGCAGAGAGCGATGCTCTGTGAACACTCACTCGGCCAATGGCCCAGTGCAGCCGCCTGCAGGAGCCCAGGCTGGCACACCCAGCCCGGAGCCGCTCTGTGGCTACTGAGCCGTGCCGAGCACATCACCGCCGCACGTCACAGACGCCGCCGCCGCGTTCGCGGTTTCCAGGCACCCACGGCACCCGATGGGCGGGGCCGGGCGGGGCCGGGCCGAGCCGGGCCGAGCCGCAGCGATTTTCAAAGGAGAGTGGCACTTGAGCTACTGACTTCGGTGCTTTCTGTGAAAAACGCCAGTCACTTGGGTTTTAAGATTTTGAAAGTTTAATAATTAGAGTAATAAATTAACAATTACAGTAATAAAAATTTAAGAGTTAGGACAATTACAAGACAATAAAAAGCAAAGAATTACGGACGTCCGGACGCTGTCTGTGAAAAACGCTGCGAGGCCTTTCCCGCCCTGCGCCGCCGGGATCTGCCCGGCGACCGATGACATCATTAAAGACTCGGGCTGCCATTGGCGGGCAGCAAAGAGCGGAGCCAATGGCGGGGCCGGAGGCGGCTCTGGGGGCGGGGCCGCAGCGGAGCGGCGCCATGGCTGCAGCGCTGGGGCTGGGGGCGCTCCTGGGCCCCGGGGCGGCGGCGAGAGGCGAGGGGGACCCCGGCACCGGGAGGGACTCTTTGATCGCCCATTCCGGAGCACCGAGGGGCCCTGAACCCCCATTCCCGGGCGCCGCCATCCCCCCGCACCCCATTCCCGGCATGGGTTCTACCCTGCACCCCCTTATCCGGCACCAGCAACCCCCGCACCCCTTTCCCGGCCATCCCGCCTCTCCCAGCCCCCAGAGCCCCCTTTTCCTTCACCCAGAGATCCCCTGGACCCCTATTCCTGCCTTTCCCAGCGCCCAGCCCCTCCTTTCCTCAACGCCGAGGACACTCGAGACCCCTATTCCCAGCCAGCCCTGGTTTTCCCACCTTTTGCGGGGAATGGGGCACCGGGGAGCCGTGGAGCTCCTTTCCCTGGATACAGGAACCCCCTTAACCCCGCCCATCCCACCTCTACCCACCCCAGCCTTCCCCTTTCTTAATCCTGGAACCCCCAAACCCCGTTCCCAGCTCTCCCGTTCCCCCTTTCCTTCTCCCGTGCCCCTCCAGCCCCCAAATCTCCGTGTGCCCCCAGTTCTCCTGTCCCTGCGTTCCCTGCCCGTGGCGCTGTCGGGGCCCAGCCCGGGAAGGGGCACGAGCCGCGGTTGACAGTCGTGTGCTCAAGTGCTCGCAGCGAGAGGGGAAACGCCGTGCTGCGCTTCAAGAGGCTCCAGCTGTGGGATTCAGAGGTGCTCCCTCTGGTCATCCGTAACGATGGCATCATACCTGTCAAGGTGAGGAGGACCTGCTCGAGGAATGGTCTGGTTTGGGAACAAGTGCTTGTGGCACAGGGGAAGGGTCCCAAAGAACATGGCAAACCTGGAAAGAGGTGTCAGAAATTCTTTTTGAACAAGGACTGACGTCTGTTCTCCAAGAAGGGAGTTCTTGGAAATTTTCTGCCCAGTCTTTCTTCTTTAAGTTGAACACAAGAAAGGTGGTGGAGTATTTTCCCCTGTCTCTCAGGTCACCTTTTGTTCTCATGGGCATGTGTGATTTCCCAGTTCCATTAGATTGTATTTGATCCCAGTTTATTACATTTTAAGTAGACTTAGAGGTGGTTTAAATACATTCTGCTCATTACTTTCTGCCCTGTTTGGTTCTGTGTCACTTCTATCCAGATGCCTCTGGATGCCCTTTTTTCCCTGGCTGGTTTGACTTAACTTTTGTGCTAAGTGCTGTTTGTAGTGGGAGAGGTGCTGGCCTCCCGTGTGGGACCAGCAGCACTGCAGTGTCAGTCCCTGTGCCATCCTGGACTCACAGTATCCTTGTGCTCTGGCTTCTCTTTTCTCAGTTTATGTTACTCCTGGAGGATGAGCATGGAATGTTCTTCTTGAAAGGCAGGACCTCCCCAGTCAAGGTATTCCACACTGGAGATGTGAAAAAGGAACTCATTGGAAAAGGTAAATCCATTAACCATGAAGTGCAATCGTGCACAGAGGGAAAATGTGTGCCCTGCTCTTGGTTCTCTGAGCAGCAGCCAGATGTTAGGCACAGTTTCTTTCCTTGGGCTCTCTGTCCCCCAAGCTTTTCTTGGGGGCTTTTTGCAGGGTCTCCTCCTAGCAAGCTGTAGCAAGTTCTGTTCTTCTAGACGTGGTGGGTTGAGTTGTGGGGGACTGCCACTACCTCAGAGGACCCTCTGAGGTATTTGCTGCACGTGGGAAGGTACCAGCCTGAACAGACACAGCCCTTGAGCACACAGCCAGCCAGCAGAAGCCCAAAGCACTCTTTGGCTCAGCTTTCCATATGGCTGGAGCTGGCTGGAAGCAGATGGAATGAGGGCTGGGCATCAGCCTGAGGTTAAGCTGTGTCTGGAGGTGGCCGTCTTGTGAACAGAGGAAGAGGGTCTGGAACCACTCTGGAACCACAGGGGGTAGAACCTGTGCTTAGAAGGCAGCTGGTTTCAACCTCTTATTCCTCATGTATGCTATGGAAATATTTCCTCTGTACAGCTGTACCACCTAACTCTGATTTCCATTGCTGTGCAGCGAGCAAGCTCCCAAAGAAGCCTTTCTTCCATCTGAGTCCCGGGAAATCAACTGAGTTTGATGTAATTTTCAAACCCACCCTGGCTCAACATCTGGAAGGGAAGATTCATGTGTTAGTGAAGGACAGCTACTCTAACGAGACCCTAATAGAGCTGGTGGGTGAAGGCCACAAGGAGGAATTCACCCTGCTTGGACTAGAGGATGACACACAGGAAAGGAATGTTAAGAGCAGTCTGAAGAAAGACATCACTGATGGTAAGAGAGGAGAGACTGCCAAGGTGGAGCAAGGAAGAGGAAAATATCTGATCATGTGTGTCCTCCCTATAGCCAGGCCTGGGCTGTCTCCCACGGGACTTGGTGGCCTGTGGGCGTGGTAGCCATGCATGCAGAGCAGTGTGTGCTGTGCTGCACGTCACTGGCTCAGGGATGTGTCCCTGGAAGTGGTGAAACTGCCTGGGGAGCTCCCTCTCAGAGGGGGGAAGGCTTGGAGCAAGGAAGCATTGAACATGCAGGTGTCTGTGCACGTCAGGGGGCAGGTGGAGCTCCCTGCATGCTGAGATCCCTTGCTCTCCTCCTTAACAGCTGTCAGAGTGAATCACATCGAGTTTGGGGACTGTCCTGTCGGGAAGCGCTGCTACAGGACCTTCGCCGTCACCAACCGCAGCCTTAAGCAGTTCATGCGCTTTGAGTGGGAGGCAGATGCCCCATTCCTGTTCTCCCCCAAGGTGAGCGTGGACTGCTCTGCCTTTCCCCATTGCTCAGGCCCTGCCCTGGTGTTCCCAGGAGCTGGCAGGGAGTGCTCACATACCACGGATAGCCCATTCCAGTGCCACGTGGGAGATGCAGTCCCTGGCTTGGCTGGGCCAAGGCTGCCAGCCTTGCAGAAAAGGTTTCATGTTACGGGAGGTGGCACCTTCTGTTCATACTTTTGTCTATCAAACTTCACTAAATCCACTCTGAGGTGCAGATTCCCGGCACAGCTGCTCACCACGTCCGTCAGTCCCTTTTGCTGTCAGTCCTGCCCTTGGCAGTGCTTCCAGTTTGGTCTTGACTCCCTGATTCTCCCTAGGTGGGACACCTCCATCCTGGCTGTGCCAAGGACATCACAGTGATCTTGAAATCAGATGTCCCAGCCACCTTCATGAGGCACCTTGTGAAATGTAAGATGACCAAGGTCAACTTTGAGCTGCCACAAAAGAAGGTTCCTGACTGGGATGACCAAATGTGCATTGTCATATGGAAGAATACCACCAGGAAAAACCCGGCAGCCGCCACGCGGCCTAAAATAAAGCAGGTAAGAAGCAAAATGGCAAGAAAAGCCAACCCGGGTTTTACAAAAAGAACCACTAGAACACCATCACTGCTGGCTGAGCAGCTCCTGCTTCCTCTGGACATTGGACAGCCATGAGGTTCACCAGCAGCGCATTTGAACGGAGAGGTGGAGGCACAGTGACCGGATACACTCACAGGAGAGGAGGAAGCCTTTTGATAAGAGACCTTCAGCCACACCCAAAGCCTCAGTCTGGGCCACAAACACAAGTGTTGCAGCCCATGTAGAATGGAAGGCAATGTTTTACGATTTTATCCCATTTTACGGTGTTAGAAATCTCTTCAGCTGATTGGTGCCCTTTTACCAACAAGGAATTTAGTCTGCTGCACTCTGTCTCTTCTTTTGAAGTGGAGAGAAATACACTTCTCCTGCATGTGCTGGTGAACTCCAAGTTTTGTCTGCATGAGAATTTGGTTGTGGTCTCTGTATTTGGTGTGGGATATCTCATCATGGAGTAGCCCAGGCACTGCATGACTCTACGAAGGAGTCTGGAGAAGGATCATCTCCAAAGAGTCTTACTTTCATTGTCATTATTGCCAAACACACTCATCTTGGGTAGAGGTTCTTTCCGAGTTTCTGGACCATTTGAAGGCCTCTAAACCATCCTCTTTTCTATCAGAATATCTGCAGTTGGAGATTTTCCTAGTGAGATCTTTCACATCCCAAAATGCCCATCCCCAGCTCCAAGCAGTTGCTCCAGACAGGAGACCTGGAGAGCACTTTCTTCTAAGACAAGAAGAAAAAGGTGCTTTCTAGAACTCTTCACTCTTGGGGTTCTCCATCCACAGAGCTCCAGCAGGGGAACTTAACCCTAGTTTGGAGACCTGCTGGATTTATAGGAACGAGGAAAAAAGCCAGGCCCTCTGCAAGATTGAAGTACAGGGACTGGAATGCAGCTGTAGTCTCTCTGGGTGTATTAACAGCTGTGGTAGTGACCGCTTGGATCAGTGGGCAGAAACAAGTACTGTAGCAAAGCAGTCCCAGTTTTGTCATCTTTGCAGGGCAGTAAAAGTGAATGGTCCTTTCTAGTGATCTTGGAGGCCAGAAGATTCCCTTCTCAGCCTGACTTTCTGGGCTCTGCTCAGTGATTCTTCCCTCCTCTGTTTGCAGGTGGTCGAGACAGCCCCGGAACCGGCTCACACTGTGGTGGAGGAGAGCAGCCAGGAGTTGGAGGTGTACCTCAGTGCTGTGGTTGCCTACACCCAGTTCAAGCTGAGCACGACCATGATTCAGTTCAAGAGTACCTTGCCCTTCCAGACAGGGACAGCCACGTGAGTGCTGGAGGCTCTGTGAGCAGGAGCTGCCTTTGCCCAAGGCTGACCCAGAACTGCTTCCCAGAACTCTACCCCACCCAAACCAGCACAGGCCCTTTTACGTGCACGCAAAGCCAAGCAGGAGGTGATGCTCAGGAGAGGCTCAATGCTGCCATACCTTTCTGCTGAGAACAGCCATGGGTTTGCTTTCACTGTATGTCACCTGTCCTCATCTGCTCCAGAATAAGTTTGCAGTCAAACCAAGACCTAAAGTCCAGAATAAACCCCTTAGCTTCAATGTCCTGGGCACCATGTTGGCCCTTTTCTCTTAAACTTCCAGACTTTGAAATATTTTCTTGGGCCACCCAGGACAGCAGTCTGAGCATGGCTGGGTTGCCTGGGGAAGATGCTCCTCAGGAGAAAGTGGTATCAGGAGTCCATCAGACAATATTACTGTACTATTTGCTTTATACTTCTTGGACATTTTTTTATTCCTCCTTCTTGCTTTTTAGTTTCACACTGCAAAACACAGGCGAGGTAGCTCTGGAATACTCCTGGGAGAAACCTGCAGGGAGTGAACCAGTGAAGAAGCTGAAGAAGCCATACTCAACCACTCTGATGCGTAAGAGCATTTCACTTGGTAGCTGAGGGCCCGGGGAGAAGACCCTGCCGCTTCAGTTCAAAACATGAATTGCTTTTTCATCTTTGTCCACGCATCCACTTTCATCAGCACCTTCCCAGCTGCAGCTGGAAGGTTTTCTCCTTGTCCCCCTCTGCCTTTCAGCCCCTTCTGTTCTTGCTGAGCCACTTCTGCTCTGCAGAGCAGCTGAGCCAGGCTCTGGGGAGAGCCACGTGCCGGGTCAGGACTAGGAAGGGGGACACCAGGTCATCCCTTTGAGAAGTCTGAGACCGGGAAAAACAGTGGTGTAACGAGTGAGCTGCCCTGCAGCCACTGTCTGTGTGCAGTTCCCCACTCCAGGGCAAACGCAAAGTCACTGTCTGAAACCAACTTTCCTGCTTTGGCGCAGGAGTGTGTGCTCAGGCAGAGACCCTGCTCCCGACACTCTGTCTCCTGCTAGAATAAAGTACTTGACCAGAGATTCTCCAAGTGCATCCCAGCTCTCTTCCACCTACCTGCAGCAGGAGGCAGAGTTGCTGGGAACACAGGATTTTGTCTTTGGAAGGTATCCTCTTCCTCCCTGCAGGTCGGTTCCTCTCCTATGATACTGTAAAGCATCGCAGAAAGCTGCTGCGTCTTTTCTGGTCGGAGCAGGACCATCCTTCGGAGACACATCCTAAAGTGCGGCAGCTGCGGCGGCCTGCTGAGCAGCAGCAGGATTCTGAGCAGCAGCAGGAGCCAGATTCCAAGTGGCAGCAGGATTCTGAGCAGGAGCAGGATTCCGAGCAGGATTCCGAGCAGGAGCTGGATTCCGAGCAGGAGCTGGATTCCGTGCAGGAGCTGGATTCTGTGCAGGAGCTGGATTTCGTGCAGGAGCTGGATTTTGAGCAGCAGCAGTATTCTGAGCAGGACGACTGTGTCAGCACCTCCCTAGAAGTTTTTCCAGATGTTGTCCATGACCTGTTCTCAATCAACCCCTACTGTGGCATCATTGCTCCTGGCCAGAAGGAGACCTTTGACGTGCAGTTCTTCCCAGAGTGCCTGGGCAAGTTTAAGACCACCCTGCTGTGCAGGTGGGAAATATCTCCACGCTTGCCAACTCATGCTACTGATGGGTATCGCTGAATCACAGGGTGGGACAGGGTGGGAAGCACCACGCTAGGTCATCTGGTGCCACTTCCCTGCTGAAGCGGGGTCATCCCAGACTACGTGGCACAGGGTTGTGTCCAGAGGACTCTGGAATAATTCCAGTGAGGGACACTCCACACCCTCTCTGCACAACTTATCACCTGCACAGGAAAGAAGTTCTTCCTCAGGTTCAGGTGGAATTGTCTTGTTCCGGCCCTTGCATCTCTGCAGCCTCCATGCAGCTAGTGCAGCTGTTAAATCTGCTGCTCGCTGCTTGCACAGAGAGAGGATGCAACACTGTGTGCCCTGCAAGGAGACAGAAAAGCGGCGGGCTGGGAATGTTTCTCTGGCTAATACCAGTCCCTCTCTTCCTAGGATTCCTAACCTGCAGCCAGGTGAGAAGATGGGGCAGGTGACTTTGGAAGGCAGAGCCCAGGAGAAGGACAGTCTGGATAAACCATTAGAAGAGACAGAGTAAGGCCAGGGACCCAAGAAGGAGGTGCTCTAAAGACCAACACTTGAGTGACAACATTTGTGTCAGCTGGAGCGTGCGGCAGGAGCTGGTGACATCCTACCTTCTGCTGCTGGTGGTCTCCCACCCTTCACCAGAGACCTCTGCAGCTACCCTCCCACGTTCCAGTGAGCACCTCCCTCTTACCTAAGTTGATTAACTAATTGTTGATTAGATTGATAAGTAATTGATAATTGTCCGTTAACTGTTAATAAACAATTGCTAATAAATTCTTAATTGTCAGCTTGTCTTGGTTTGAAAGACAGGTGTCTGCCAGACCTCTCTGGAATGGAGAATGAGATCCCCTTCCCTACCAATTATTATAACTTTGAAATTAAGGGGCTTTCAGGCAAAGATGTGGGAAAAGGAGTGTCAGTTCTTTACCAGTATGTACAAGGCAAACAACCAACACCACCGGCAGCAAGGACAAACAGAACCAGAGACCCAAGCCCAGCCTTCCCTCGGCTGCAGGCACTTTCCCTTTGGTGTAGTTCCAGTCACAGCCGGGCAGGGAAGGGAGGCAAATAATGAATAAAGCAATTGCTAGAGAAACTTTAATTATTATTGAGGGGCTCAGAAAGGGACACAGCCCTCGAGGTGTGGCTTCACCAATGCCCAGCACAGAAGGACAATCGCTGCCCTGATCCTGATGGCTACACTACTGCTGATACAGGCCCAGTGCTATTGGCCTTTTTGTCCACCTGGGCACACCTGGGCTCAGGTTCAGCTGTTGTCAGTCAGCTTCCCAGCCACTCTTTCCACAGCTGGGCGATGCAGAGGGTGAGTGTGGCCAAAGTGTACGAGCCAGCACTTGCCAGTGGCGTCAGCCCATGGATCCAGCCAGTCCAGGGCCCTCTGCAGCCTTCCTGCCCTCCAGCAGGTCCGCCTCTGACCCAGCTTCTCATCCAAAGAGGGACATGGAGGTGCTGGAGCAAGTCCAGAGAAGAGAAAGGAAGTTGATTAAGGGTCTAGAGAACAAGTCTGATGAGAAATGGCTGAGAGAACAGAGAGCTGGGGAGGGTTCAGCCTTGAGCAAAGGAGGCCCAGGGGGAACTGTCACTATTGGACATGAAATGAGTACACAGAAGCTTGGTAAGTTCAAAAGAGAAAAAGAGCTAATTTAATTTCTGACTTTGCAATATATAGAATTCTAAAAGTGACAGCGGATTGGAGGATGAAATTACCACCTCTCTAACCACACTGGTCAAACCAACAGTCCACCAATTCTCTCCTCCCGCAAAGAAGAATGCAAAACAATCATTATTTACATGAACAGTGTGTGAGAACTCCAGTAGAAATATGTAAGCATCAGAAGGCATAGAAAACTTTTAAAGGAGCTTTAAAGCTTTCAAAAGAACTATAAAGGAAAACTTCACACTTTTAAAAATCAGGGCAACAGAGAATGTCATCACTCTCTACACCAGCCTGACAGGTTGTACTTAGATGGGGACCGGGCTCTCTCACAGTGAAAGGACAAGAGGACACGGTCTTAAGCTGCGCTAGGGAGGTTAAGTTGCACATCAGGAGGAATTTCTTCACAGAAAGGATTGTTAAACATTAGAAGGCCCTGCCCTGGGAGGTGGTGGAGCCACCTTCTCTGAGGGTGTTCAAGGACCAGCTGGACGTGACGCTCAGTGCTCTGGTCTGCTTGACAAGGTGGTGTTTGGTCCAAAGCTTGATGAAATTCTCTCAGAGATCTCTTACAACCTAATTGATTCTGTGATTGTCTGCAATTAACACCTGGTAAAGACAGGGAATCCTTTCAAATTAAGTATGATAAACTGTAATGTTTTGTAAAAGGATTTCACAGGAGCTCACATATTACCCTGACCAATCAATAAGATAGACATAAATCCCTAAAATGGTTAACAGTTCTCTGGTCTTTTTATCCACAAAGCACAAAGTATTCTACAGTTTTAGAGCTATAATGAATCTCTGAAATCATATTAAGCTGGAATCAAATAATAATTTAATTGCTAATAGCAAGAATCCTGTTAAATTATTTGAGCAGGAAGAGCAACTCCACCTGCCTTTGAAAATTTGTAATCAAGTTAATGGTATAAGTTCTTCAGCAGCAATTGTTTGGGTCATCTCTGGGTAAAACATATAGGCAATCGAACCACCATTTTCTTTAATGGGCCCTAAATTGCACTGTGTTTTCTCAATCCTTGTGCATGCTTTCCTTAATTTTCTAGCTTGTGTGGGCAAGGCCAAAATACCCAAGATACAAATTCATTAGGAAGTCAGGAGGTTCTGGATTGTTCACGCATAATCTGTGACCAAAGCCTCATGTCACTCACACAGTGCGGTCTCAACCTCAGCAAAAACATTTTCAGCTTAGAAAAGCACAGTTTTTATAATTAAATCTGTTACCTTTATATATTTAGTGTTTAATTCTATGATGACTTGCTCTTGCATAGTTTAAATGCAAGACACTCAAAATAAATGCCAAAAGAACTCGGTCAGGTGACTCCAGGCTCAAACCAGAGGTTTGAGTCAGGCTCTGGCCAGAATCTGCTTATTGGTTTTCATGTGACTCTCTCATTTGTTACGAGTTGAAAGTGAAGCTTTGTCTTGAATTAGTCCAATAAAACATTGTTCATCTGGAATAGAAAATACCATCATTCCAATCTTTTATGAAAGCCTTACAAATTACCTTGGGAAGAATAAATTTTAAAATCTTTTTATGTATGTCATTGGAAGAGAATTTTGTGTTCTCATGATTTATCCAAATAGTGGCAAATTTATTGAGATGAGAAAGAGAGGAGCAAGGAATCTGCCTGCCTATATGTTTCTCCTTCTTGTCTAAAGGAGCTGCATCACTGGAAAATGTGTTCTAGTGAGAATATTTATTTTCTCAATAGGAGACTATACTGCTTTATAGAGTTCTGGATCAAGCCAAGTGAGTTTTTAAAAATAAACTAAAATTTGAAATGTGTCAGCTTAGATTCTAGCTTTGTTTTCAGCTGTTGCTGACGCAGGTTTTCTCTTTTGGTGTCTGACATACTGGTAAAAATAGGACCACACTCCGGTACTAAAGTAATTTCAGCATTTATTATAAGTTCTAAAGCATAGGGGGCCCGTGGGTAGAGCAGGAGCGTTCCCGTCGAGGATGCTGCAGAGCCAGCACCGGATCTTCTTCCTTTCTTGAGCAGGGATGTTCCTGATGTTCCAGGTCGAGCGGCACAGTCTCACCAACTCAGATTCCCCCTTTTTATACTGTTTGATTTCCCCTTTTTATACTGTTTTTTGTTCCTTTGGCTTGGTTTCTGTTGGGATCCTTCATTTGCATGAAGGTTAAGGCTCTGATTGGGCCTTACAGTTCTGTCCAGGCTGGCTCGTTTCTGCTTTGGGAGGATTGTGGATTACTTTAGGTGTAATCCAGTAACTTGAGTACCATATTTTTAATAACTACCCTTTTTATTTCCTCTACAATATAATAACCAAACTAACAGTACATGCTTAGCAATTATCAACTGTTTTACAGCAGTTTCTAACCTGTTTTTGACAGTAATATTCTTTAGTAAATTGTAACTCCAACCTGCAACTTGAGGCAGCGGAGTGGGATTCATTTCTCCCACCGGTTTACTTTTAAATGTGGCAGACATCAGTAACCCAAAAATCTGGGCAAAATCCCCGGAGAGGCCTCTGATTTTATGGGGAAAAGCAGGAATTCCAACCCTAACACCTCAACTAAACCACAGCACCAAGAGCCACATTCAATCTTATTTTAAAACACATCCACAGATGGTGACTCCACCACCTCCCCGGGCAAACCATTCCAGTACTTTTTCACCCTTTCTGCAAAAAAACCTGTTTCCTAATATCCAATTAATATCTAATTAATATTAGTTACAATATTTAATAATAATTTCCAGGATTCCAGGCCAGTTTTTGAGTACTGATGTTTTTGTTCAATGATTAACCAGAGGGCAAATTCCCTTCTCTGAGAATTCAGATGAACAAAGGAAGAATGAGAATTAAAAGCTCCGGAGCTGTTTCTGTCTTGTTTTTGATTAATTTCTGCTTTATGCTCCTTCAAATAAAGGTAAAATCTCTCCAAACTGAACTAAAAGCTAATTCAAGCATGGAACGACAAAATAAATTCCAGGGAAATTACAGCCAACAATTCCATGACTAATTCCCCTTATAAAGGACCAAAATCCCAATTATAAATCGGATTTATGCATGAGCAGATTGTTTAATTCATTCAATTAAGGCAGATAATTTAATGTTAATTTAAAGAACTTAACATTAAATTATCATTAACAACTTCACTTGAAACCACCCACAAATAACAGGAATTTCCATCGAGGCAAAAAATAATTTCAACCTGGAATCATTCCCTGGAGAATATCAATAAAACCCCCCCGGCTCAGTATTCTCCCAAAAATCCTCATCATGGACATTTTTACTCCAGCCAGACTTACCTGAGCAGCCAGATCTGGAATATCCATGTGGAATTCCATGTGGATTAGTGAACTGAGGAATTTTTGTATTCCCCGGACATGGATCTTTTCCACATCTGTGAGGAAATAGACTCCAGGAACCCCTGCACTAAATCCTAAAAAAGCTTTGAAAAGAGACTTTAAAACTTTCAAAATGGATTTTTAAAAAAAGATTTGAAAAGGGACTTTGACCACAAAAGACTTTTTTTTTCCCCTCACGTGCAACATTCCAGCTGATCTTAACAGCCTGTATCTGGAAATTCCAAAGGTTCCATTTGTGGCACACCTAGATCCAAAGGGCAGCAGGAAAAGGTTTGAAACCCTCAGCACCTGATCAGGGCAGCTCCTTTTCCAGCCTGGTTTTCCCACAGTTCAGAAAACCTTGGGAACGGGAGGTGGAGAGCCCCAAATTGGGGGTGGATCACACCACCAGGGTGATTCGGAGTTAAAATTGGGAATGCATAGCACAGAGACCAGGTGGGAATCCACGGATATGGAAAAATTGTGGGATTAGAGCTTTAAAGTTCCAACATTTTCCAGGTTCGGTTATTCCTGCACCAGTTTTGTTTCTGGATTATGGAGAGGGAGGGAGTCAGGTTGGACAGAGAGCTGGAAAATAATTGGATTTGTGAGATTCCCGCCCTTTGGGACTAATGAACAAAATTCCAGGATTTGTGGTGATTCCAGGTGGGATCAAATGTGGCCAGGACCCAAAACCAATGAGGTTTCCAGGGAATCTGGACTGGGTTTCCTTGGATAAATGTCACGGATTTATCACCTCC